GAAGAAATTAAATAAACCTATTTTTTAATAATATTAAAACTATTTTTGTTATTATTTTTAAATAATAAAATATATTGCAAATATATATAGAAATAAACAAATTTTTTATATAATTACAAAATTTATAAAATCAAATAAAAACCAAAACTACAAAAGTATTAAACAAAATCTTATTTTATTAGATGAAAATAATGGTACCCTTATTATTAAAGGGAAAATGATTTTTATATAACTTTTTTATCCCACATTTTTATATACAACCTAAGGTATCATTAAAGTGATTGGTTTTTTTAATTTATATGGGATCAGTAATATTGAATGCATCCACTCATTTAATGGCATTTGGAAGTTGTATAAAAAGGTGGGATAAAAAAAATTATCCTTATAGCACCACCTATTATTAAGGCTACTTCTCTTATTTAATATTTAGTATAAAACCTACAAAAAAAATATGAATTTAGTATAAAATTTTGTACAAAATTAATTATAAATATTACAATTAATAAAATTTAATCTATACCGTTAGACAAACCATTAGAGCACAAATTAAACACATCTATTTTCCAAATAATATTAAAATTATTTTTGTTATTATTTTTTAAATAATATAAGGGAAAAATGCATACCAATCCCAACTCTCAAAAAAATTAGAGTTTTAATTTTAAATTATGTTGTTTTATTTAATTAAAACTTAATTTAAAATTTAAAAATTTATCTCATTAAATACTAATATTTAGATTTAAAAACTAATTAAATTTTTTAATTTTGAATTAAATTTTTAGTTTTTAAATATAAGTGGAAATTCTAATTTTTTTTAAGAATTAAAACTAATATGCATTAATATCATAATATAATTATTACAAAAATATATAAATAAACAAATTTTTTATAAAATTACAAAATTTATAAAATCAAATCAAAAACAAAACTACCAAAATATTAAACAAAGTCTTATCTTATTAGATGAAAATGGTGCAACAACTTAAATAAGTCATTGGTAATCTAGGGTGTCTTATTCAATACTTTATCTTTTATAATTCAATAAAATTAAAAAAAAACATAACAGGAAACTCTCCAATAACAGAACACCCAAAAAAAAATAAAAAAGCAAAAATATTATCATCAGAGTTCTTTACTAAAATAAATAAATACAATAAAAAAAAAGGAAAAAGAAAAATTCCTAAAACTCCTAAAAGACCCAAATGAAAGTTCTAAGGCCATTTGGTACAGTGGTTTTGGGGTAATGATCAACAGTTTTGTCTAAATCGCTAGACATATGTGTTTCATAAATTTATATATTTTAAAACTGTTACAAACAAAGTGTTTAATAAAAATTTTTATTTAACGGTTTGAAATTAATGGATAGCAATTATGATGCAAACCGCTAGTCAATTGAAAAAGCTAACTTAGATAGTTTTTTATACTAAACCGCTAACAGATTGGAATTTTTTAATTTTATTAACATATTTATTCATTTTAATTTTTTAATTTTTGGTCATAGTTTTTAATTAGGACCATGATTGGTGCACA